GAGGCATAAACTCTCTCTGTTCCAGACTGTAATCGAGAATCAACTTCATTATCACTCGAAAAAGAGGTCAGAACTTTACCGTTACTCGAGTACTTGAGAACGGAAACACACGGGAGGCTACTGACGCTATCGACGCTCGCCGCAGATAACTATCTTCTAGCAAAACTTTGCTGTGCAGAAATAATAAAAAAATGTCATAGCAATTTTTTTTTATTGTTAAATTACTGACGAATATTATTACCACCATTTTTTTATTTCAGAGAAACAACCAGACCTTTGCTGCAGCGTGAGTACTGTTGGATCACACATTCTTGAAAAGAACACGTCAGTAAGGAAAACCAATACTAAACTAGAATACTCTGGAAAATATATCATTGTTCTACTTCAAGTTTACATCAAATAAATTGAAATATTTTATATGGTATCATCATTTACAAGATTTATTTAAATGGTACAAAGAAATATGAAGGTTAAATGTATATATAGGTGTAGACGCATTAACTGATCTTGTGATTTCCTTATAAGAACCAACTCGAGACAAACTCGATTCCTGAGATTGTTTAGACTTTAATAGTAAAGCTTGCTCTAGTACTATAAATCTAGATTAAGTTTTGAAAATATATTATTTGGATCTGGCAAACAGATTGAGATTTTTTATTTGCCAGAAGTTTGTAATTCAGATGTAACAGCAGGCAACAGCGGCAGGTGCGTATGCCATACGTAAAAACAAACCTTATAATCGTAGCAGTAAGAGCTGAGTATTGAAGAGAACAATTTATGATGGTTTATAATGTAATATTAAATAACTTAGGTGGGACGTTTTCAAGTTTCGGGCCAAAAACGAGTTATTTGATTTAGTACTCATAACCTTCATGTTATGAGTACAGTAAATTTGTTGTCATGACAACAGGCGTAATCACTCTTAAATCAGGAGTTATACATTAAAAACTACCCCAAATCTCATTCGTATCACTGGTTCGAAATTCAAATTCTAACTTGTTTACTATTATCCAGTAATGCGTGTTGAAATTCGGCAATTTTATTTAATCTGTATATAATACAATAATAAAGGAAAAGTAACTGGATATTAGAACATTATTAAAAACAAAAGAAGTACGATTTCTAAGCTTTTTAAAAATATCCTATTTATATTGTCATCTGTGTTGGCGTTATCAAATGCGTAAAATGAAAAATATAAATGAATATTATATAATATTATCAATAAATGAGTGATTTACTTGATTGTGAAGAAGTACTTTTTATTCTGAACATGTCTAAATACAAAAAAAAATATGAAAAATTAGAGAAAGTTTAAATTACTGAAATCGTTACTTTTTTGGCCGCAAAATTGAAAACAACTCAGGTACGCCACTTCTCCAAGAAAAGTACCAACAAATCCTATCAACCGTCAAAAAGTTTAAGCTTATCAAAATAAAATGTACTAGAGGTCCTGCATTAGTCGAAATTCGACTATAATGAATTGGAATTGTAATTTTGTACACTATTAGGATTGTATTTTATACTTCTATAATCACAAATTTCGCCAAGACTACACTATAGAAAAATATTAACAAAGACAAACAATATTTAATCTATTCTCAATTTTGACAACAGACGTCAAGAACAATTGTTTGACAATAAATAGTATGCATGCGTGTGTGCGTCAAATACACGGTATGAAGTGTGTGTAATGTTTTCTTTATTGATTTAATGTATCTTTTATGCATTATTTAAAAAAAAATATTTGCATTGTGCACTTCTTCTCTATATTCTCTATAAGTGTAGAAAATTTCATACTCCTCCGTCCGCGCAATTTTCGTAAAAAGGGATACAAAGTTTTTGCTTCACGTATTAATTTATAGAAGATAATCAAGAAATTGTAAAGTTGACATTGTATCATATCATTGAACTAGATCACAAACAAAAATTACATAAGTGACATAATTGTTGAAGCTGCCAATGCAACAGTTTTTTTTTGTTCGTAATACTCAAATAAAATGCGTTCACCTTTTTTCACAATAAGGCATTCAATCACGCACGCGTTGCGCAATGTTGTAAGTATACATAATACTTGTAGATTCACTACCGGTCTGTTCAATTTGGCCGCTTTCTTAGATAGGTATCGAAACTTTTAAATTTCAAATCATATGGGAAAGGAATCGTAAATGATAACTCCACTGATATTCTAAGCTTTGCTATACATAGTTTGTTTGTTACATGATATTTTTTTTTTGCGTAGATGAATGGACGAGCTCACAGCCCACCTAGTGTTAAGTGGTTACCGGAGCCCATAGACATCTAGAACGTAAATGCCGCCACCCACCTTGAGATATGAGTTCTAAGGTCTTAGGTTACAAGTACACTTATGAAACTATGACAAGAGTGAAGATACCCCAGCTAATTTGTTTTGGAATTCATCTTTTAAGCCCTGCATTCTGCTTCATCAGAACGGTTTATATTGTAAGTCCATTTACTAAAGGGCGGGCCTTCAAACCGAAACGCATTACTGCTTCACGGCACAAATAGGCAGGGTGATGGTACCTAAACGCGCAGACTCACCAATAAAACAAAAATATACGTATTTTGTGTATAAATACCGCCTTGTGATGGTGATTAACGCAGCCCCATAGATTCTATAGTATAAATTCCATCTATTTCGAAGCATGGGGATGAAGTCATAAAGGTATTATAATAGTGACTGTCAAACAGAAATACTTGAATGTTTCACGGCAAAAACATTTAAGATGATGTTACCAACCGATATAGAAAACATTAAAACCAATGTATTTAGTGTTTATATTTATCGCTTCGTAATTATGGAAATCATTAAATTTTACAATTTTCGTGATACATGATACTCGATGGAGGTCGTGAACTATTGTTGTATTTATTTATATGTGTCCTGTCTCTTGCCTTACTTCAAATATGAAGTCTAGATTTTCTTTCGAATAACCAGCTGCTTAAAATATGTTTAGAAGAAAATGCATTGGAAATTATTCACGATAATTATTACAAAATAAAATATTACAATGAAAACTAGTAAACTCTGATGGGACGAAGTTAGTTGATACAAAACTGCCGTTCGTAAGTGTGTGTGCGCGTTGAATGTCAAACATTATGATAATATTTATTTTAATGCTTTTTGTGTATAGTTAACAATCAAATTACGTTCTATTTGACGTCACATTCACCGGAGATACATACCTATTGGATGCGGTAGCAATTAAGTTTTTATTTATCTTTATGAATATTCATTTTCTTTGTCTAAGTTTTTTGCTTTATTGTCAGTATTGTTCTTCAAATGAAGGATAAGGATTTTGGTTGCTTAATAATAATGAAGACCTATTTTTCTTCCGGAAATAATGGTTTTCAATGTAATAAATGTCCATAGCCATTGCTTTACTGAAATTTCTAGCTACCGATTTTGAGAAAAGCGGTCATGTTCCTTTATTATCTAATTATCCAATTGGATATCCACCTAACAGTTGGTAGGAAAAGTTACTTTATACGATAACTAACTAGTTTTTCCCCCCTACCTATTCACGGGTAGCTGAAGAGCCTATACCAACTACGCCGGATCTTCTTAGTGGGTCGCGTTTCCGATCCGGTGGTAGATTCTGCGGATCACTGCTCTTGCTAGGGTCAGTGTCAGCAACACCTCCGGTTTTAACCCCGAGAGCTCACCTACACACTAGGGTAACGCTGATATAGTCTCTCAAGGCTATCAGCATAGGTAGGAAAAAAATAATTCGAACTACGCGTGGGTAAGTTAGCTCACCGAGTCAACCTGTAACACTAGCCCTAGCAAGAGCAATGTTTCGCAAAATCTACCACCAACTAAATAGTTATAAGTTTAGAGTACTGCCTTCTAAAACTCCTGAAATACATACCATAGCAAACCTGAACTGAATTGAATCATAATTGTAATCTGAATACAAATCTTGAACGAAAACCTTCTGATAGAAATTTGCCCACATTTTCACTACTATTATAATATATTAATCAATTCCATGTCTCAATATTGATTTTCAATATAGTAACTAATACCAGAAGATCACAAAAATTGGCTTTCGATATACTTGTCCAGCAAATTGGAAAATATTTAATGTATTTACCGGCATAAATTATTCAATAGTCATGTTGGGTGCAATGAAACGAAAGTTGTTTGGTTAGGGGGGACTTCAAAGAAAGAAGATAGAATAGACTGAGTACACTGACATTACTAACAAATCAAAGATCATAAATAATTGTGAGACTCATATGTTTGCTGTTTTGAAGATACATATGATAAATTCTTTTTTTTTAACTCCGAATATCAATTGTGGTTTCTCTGAGATAAGTTTTACAATGCATCTGAAGAATTCTAACCAAATGAATAAATTTTAATTGTTTAAACACTTACGTCTAATAAAACGGGGTCCTTTCAAATTAAATTGGCTTTACATCAATTACTTGACTCACCACAACAACGTCTAACTAAAATATAAATTTGCTATTTCACAGTAATCAAACGGAACATAACCATTTCACAGAGTTCGGAGCACCAAATAATATAAAGCTGGTACGGCAAATATTCACATGAATAGAAATAGGTCAAACTTTGAATTCTGCAAAACAAATTAAGTAAAAGTCTCTAGCTGGCGAATGGCTAAATAGTCATTAGAATCGCAAAACTTGTTGATGTTGTTGAAGAAAGGCATTAACTTTTTCTAAAAGTAAATAATTGAGAATATTATTATAAGTTTGACAATAGGTATTACGAAGGTGCAATAAAAAATGTTGCATGATTTCCAAACTATTTATCATCGATTGTTCAAAGATAAATAAACAGTTTTGTCAGCACGTAGCGTGGGTTTCAAAGCAATTCCCTGTTCTTCGGAGTCGACGCACCCTTTGCTTTGAACTCATATAGATATTCGATTAACCGGCAGAATAGGCCCATTATGTGCTTACGGTTGAAACGTGTTTGTTTGCATAACACATTTACATTCTGGACTCACCTAAATGTCGTTTGTTAGCGGACCTCATAATCTAGCCGCCATCTCGATATCTGCAAACAATACAATAAAGTCAGCAACGTATACATATAACTTAATACTTAAATCTAATCAACATTTTACTGTTTAAATATGTCCTACAAATATACAGGCATCTGCAAGCAGGTATGGGACTGCGTCACAATTTAGCACCGAATCTAATGCAAACCACAGGTGCCGAGGGTAATAGGTAAAATTTTAACTCTTCCATTGACAAAATGATTTCGCAGCAATAAATACATATTTGGTTAGAAAGTATCTAACTTCCCAAGCAATATGAACATTAATCAATATAACACATTCAAGTCATACATAATAGATAGCTTCGCAGCAATCATTCGTAAGCGAATTGCTTCCCTAATTCGCCGTGTGCGGGTCAGTCGCAACCGCTACCTACGGCTGTTCGCCTCACGGATGGATCTGGACTGCCCAATAATACAACACTGGACACGTGTGCATTTTGAGCACTCTGGATCCAAACCAGCCTTTAGGTTAAGGTAGTTTTCATGTTAATTTAGTTTTTGTTTTATTATTATTAATTTAGAGTTTTTGTTTTATTATTATTATTATTATTTGATTTTTTGTTTTTATTATTATTATTATTGTTTTTGTTTTAGTCCGAGATTAGTTATTATTTTTATTTAATTTTAGTATAAATGAAATGTTAATGCAATGTAATTAAGACGTGTAATATGGATGTAAAATCTGAAGTAAATTAAATAAATAAATAAACAATAAGAAAAGGTGGCCATATTTCTTGAAATGTCTATTTGCCTACAATAAACGATTCCATTGCTTGACAATATAATAAAAAATATTAATTTGTTTTATGTCGTATGCAATTACTTCAAAAGTAATTGCATACGACATAAAACAATTTTACTGGCTTTTTTGTTTGATGTGCCTCACAATAAGAAGCGACTCGATATTTCTGCGAAACTTATTATATAGAGAATGTATTTTTTGTTTGCCGATCACGTCGTAAAAGGACCCACGTGATTCCATCGCGATCGATCATATTTGAGAAAGAATGAACCGTATCTTTATGTATTCAAGACACATAATACTTCATAACCCTGAACTTGTTTGAATGTAGGGTTTCCTTTAAGTGCATTTATATCAAAACGTGTTTACCTCTTGACTGGACATTAATTTAGTAGATTGGAAACCACAGTATCTTACTTGAATTTTAATAGAATGAATTTTCAAGGACATAATATTTCCTTAATTTTACAATTTTGATTTTATTACTAAGAATATAAGACTTTTTTTTATTTAAAAAAAAAATCAATACATTCAAATTTAAGGGGAAATTGTTAAACGAATCATGTTTGGCAAAATTATTTAAAGGTAAATTGCCAAGGAAAATATTTTTAGGAATATTTCTTCATCTCAATAAGCCTAAGCCTAAATAAGAGTTGATCTTAAAACATAATCTCAGTGCTTGCTTATTACCACTGTTAAGTGTACACAAGTAATTGCCTAATGAAGAATGCAACAGTAAAACGGGATCCAGGATCGTGTTGTCGTGATTAAAAATACGTGACTGATGCGAAATGATGTCACAAATTACATTTAGTCAGGAAATTGCGGAATTTTATTAAGAATGAACTAGAATTTCACAAGACGGTTTCAAAATTATGAAAAAATATACGGCTATATACACAATCAAAACATCGTCCTTCTGTTTTAAATACCACGTTTACCCAATATGTATCGGTCGTGATCTGAATATTGATATTTAGTCAGATAGATTTTTTTTTAAGTAATTAATGATTTGGATAATTTATTTATGAAATTTAGAAAAATAATGCCCGCAAAACAAAGCAATTCTTGAAGTTAAGTTACAATTAAGTATTACGCAATAACTATATGGACTTTTTGTTAAACAATTTTTATTCAATTATTATAATTGAATAGAAAATTGTTTAATAAATTGTTTCTTTAATTTTATTTGTCGTATGTATATTTTCATATTTATATTACCTATTATGTTATATTTGTTATACCTACGCGCTATTATTTTAATATTTTAACCCACAGACACAGCCCACTGAGTTTCTCGTCGGATCTTCTCAGTGGGTCGCGTTTCCGATCCGGTGGTAGATTCTGCGAAACAGTCAGGTCAGTGTTGGTATCACTCCGGTTTGAGCTCTGAAATAGCCTCTCGAGGCTATCAGCTTAGGTAGAATTAAAAAAATTTTTTTTTTTTGTATTTATAGATATGTGTCGACCAATATCAATATGTTTCAACTTTAATTGAATTTTCTCAAACATTTCCAATGAAAAATGTGATTTGTATTGTAAATTATATTAACGTGTCTGTAAATTTAACTCTCACGGACTACCGTTCGCAGTGCCCGCAGACCAGGAAGAAATAAGACATTCCCGGTTGATGGATGTCTGACGTGCCTCCAGCTTCGTGGCTTCGTTATACCTGACACAACATACGATTATAAGGCCGAGATTAAATTAAATTTCATGACCGCCCCAACTAAGACATGGTGTGTCTACAGCATTATTATACACCGTGAAGTTATACGGTATAGTACATTGATCAGTTTCTAATGAATTAATCTTAGTATTGTCTTAGAGGAACGGTACGTCTCTCAATTTAAACACCTAATCTCATTTAAATATATTCGAAATTGAGTTAAAATGCGGAATCATTTGGTATCACCAGTATTTTTCTCGTAAATACTGTCAAATGAGCGTAGTTTACTTTTTTATTCCTTATGGGCGATGCGAAGGGGTACCCTAACCGGGAAAAAACGTCCGTAACTAAGATATTTCACTAGTGGGACGTGTTGTGGGTCCTTCCGCACGGGTAGGTACCACCACTCTGCCTATTTCTGCCGTGTAGCAGTAATGCGTTTCGGTTTGAAGGGTGGAGCAGCCGTTGTACTTTAAAAACTGAGACATTAAAACTTTATCTCAAGGCGGGTGGCGGCATTTAAACTGTAGATGTCTATGGGCTCCTAAGCACATATCACCAGGTGGGCCGTGAGCTCGTCAGTCCGTCTAAGCAATAAAAAAATACTCTTCAGAGAAATATTTAATATTTCTATATCTTTTGTAATTCACGATGAACACACGCAGATTACCGAGACACAAAACTTGTATTAACAATTTCAACTATCTTCATCAATGACAAATTTGTATTTTGTATGCAAGCGTTAATGTCTGTAGGCTTGAGATCAACTCCGGTTACAAGACTATTACATAAAGGAAAACCCTAATGACATGCGATATTTTATTTACTGCTATTTATCTCGGACGAGCAAGTGCTAATGGTCTATGATAATGTTCGAACATTACATCGCAATAAATAATGCAAATCTTTCATTTCGAGAAAGCGCCTCGTAAAGTTGCATTAAAGAATATCCTACAGTCAATATTTGAGTCGTCTATTATCAAAGGTGGCAATCTGTGCATTTGGACAAAAAAAAATTATTGATATGTCAATACAGATTGATTTGAATATAATCGTCTCCTTCAAAGAATACGGTTCAAAACCTGCATTAAATAAAGGTTAATAGTTAACCTGTTATTTATCTAAGATGTCGTTCCGAAGAGTTTTGTGACTGCCAATGGAATNAATATAATCGTCTCCTTCAAAGAATACGGTTCAAAACCTGCATTAAATAAAGGTTAATAGTTAACCTGTTATTTATCTAAGATGTCGTTCCGAAGAGTTTTGTGACTGCCAATGGAATACAAAGTCAATAATTCGTTTTTCTGATTTACCAATCATTGTCCAAAAGTCAGATTGCCGGCTTTGATAATAGTCGACTCATTTATTCGTTAAAGCTGTGCCCGCCACTTCACCCGCGTGGGATTTAACAACACATTATTCATTTGAAAAAAAAAAAAAACAGTTTTTTTTTCTAAGATATAAGTAGCTTAAGTTACTCCTTATTAAGTCCCGTCAAAATCGATCCAGCCGTTTCAGAGATTAGCCGGAACAAACAGACAGACAGACAGACAAAAACTGTAAAAAATGTTATTTTGGTGTATGTACCTATATTATTAAAATAGTAGTAAAAAGCGGTTATTTCAATATTACAAACAGACACTCCAATTTTATTTACATGTGTACTTCGTAATACAAAAACTACAACATAAAAACTTAGGAGAGGCCTATGTTCAACAGTGGACGACTGTGGGCTGATTATGATACTACGAAAAAGTAATTGTAACGGACGTGACGTCAGCTGCCATACCCTGCCGCCAGCCATCCTGCCAAGCCACGTATTGACACGCCCGCTTCCGCCACTGCCACTAGCCAAAGCCAACAAAGGGGGGGTAGTGTTAATAAAAAAGCCTTGCCAGCCATATCTACCCGCCTTTTCTCAGAAATAAAAGAACATTTTGTTACACTTCTGGTTTTTCTATCGATCATTTATAAATTTTTTACTGGTGGTAGGACTTCTTGTGAGTCCGCACAGGTGGGTACCACCGCCCTGCCTATTTCTGCCGTGAAGCAGTAATGCGTTTCGGTTTAGAAGGCGGGGCAAGCGTTGTAACTATACTGAGACCTTAGAACTTATATCTCAAGGTGGGTGGAGCATTTACGTTGTAGATGTCTATGGGCTCCAGTAACCACTTAACACCAGGTGGGCTGTGATGTCCACCCAGCTAAGCAATAAAAAAAAATTTAAATTTAGTTTTTTTTAAAAAAAAAGCTTTTATTTTTGTCTTTTTACCCTGTTTTTTAGGAAATAAACGAATCCTTTATTGCTTGAAGTACGATGTGCCACCCACGGTTACACGTTATGTGAAAGTTTAGTGCATTTCAAACCGGCTTCGCTGATACAAGTCTTGTCTTGTAATCGCAAAACTACAGAAATAGATATGATGACAGCTATCTAATGTTATTATGAATTTCATGTTCCATTCCTGTATAGGAAGTTAGAATTAATCCTGTCCGTTCTTATAAGTATTAAAGTTTAGCGCAGGGTAAATCTTTTATTCGTTTTCTATTAATCAGTACTTCCATTTAGCTAAGCAGTCA